TTTACACATACCATCACATTGTCAAAAATGCATTTCCTCCTGCAAAGGAAAACAGAATTTAGGAACAGAAATCCAAGCATATTCTTTTCTAAAAGTATAGTCATACTGCGTATTCGTGACATCATACGAGGATCAAAAGCTCCTGACCATGGTGCTTCAGAGTAAATGCCGACAGCCACTAAACTACTGTGAAAGAAGACAGAGGGCGATATTCAATACGTGCCAAGTTTTGGGCCAACTCCCAAAGCAGCCAAGCTCATACTACTGACATCTGGGGCCAGATAATCCTTTGGTGTGTGACGGGGTGGGGGAGACTGTCCTGTCCATTGTGGGATGTTTGGCAGCATCCCTTGACACCAGTATCACACACACCCCCAAACAAATCAATCAAATGTGACCATCAAATATGTCTCTTGACTTTGCCAAGTGTCCCCTGGGGGTAAAAAACTGCCCCCACTTGAGAGCCACTGTCCTAAACCAAGAAAGAGATCTCTGGGAACCACCCATGTTTACAAGGAAAACCAAAAGGAAACACTAAGAAAAACAACATACTTTGATTTGGTACAAGAGCCAGAAGTAGCAACAGATGTCAGAAACGTCCCATCATTTTCGGGCCAGTTTACAACCAGAACCAACAGCCAATTTCAAGAGCTTATTCTTGAATTTAATTAATCAGAACGTAATGTCTATTTGCATCAGATTCCATCGTGCAGAAGCTCACCAGACTTTCAATCCCTCAGCTGGGACATGGCTGCTCGCGACAGCCCTCGCCCAGCCTGTGTGGGTTCGAGAGGAAAGGAGTAGCTTCTCCGGGGAAAGCAGTTTTCCTGATAGCCTGGAGGGAGGGAGTGTCTGTGGGGCTCTACCTGTGTGTTCCGGGCATTCAAGAAGACAAACGTTGTTTGAAAGAAAAGTACACTGACTAAATCTGAACCGAGGATCGGAAGGGAGGAAGGAAGGGCTGAATCACGCCATCAAACAGCACCTCATCGAGCACTTTTCATCAGCTGGAGGCCACAGAAAATGCAACCGTTCTACCACACGGAATGCACGTCTTTAAATCAACGGGCTATGGTTCCGAGGCCACCCGGGACGCTTTGTGGCTTTCGATAAGACAAATGAGCAACACCCCACTCTAGCCCATGGCACCCCAGGCCTGCTGAACAAACCCCACCCCTCCCCGGGCTGCCACCTGCACCAACTTAGTATGAAAACCCCTGCAACCGGTTTGGTGTTTAACACAACGGTCCACCCAGATGAGAACCACAAAAGACACTGTTTTGTCCTTGTTACTGTGTCCAGTTCTAATTAATTCTAACAGGAAACTCTCCGGGCTCCAGGGAATCACTTCTAAAAGGAGTCAGGGCTCCTTTTAATGACAGCTACTGGGCTCATTCGAGCCCTTCTTGGATTTTATGAATAGAAAGGAATTGGTGAGAACTGGCCACCCATTCCAGTTACTAGGAACCCCCTACCAAAAAAAAGAAAAAAAAAAAGAACAGCAGAGAAAAATGAGAAAGCAGAAGGCAGGTGCTTAGAATGAGCGACACGCATGTGCGCGCATGGGCACACACGCACACACAGAACGCACACACAGAACGCAGCCACAAAGCAAACACTGTGTACACCGGGGTTCTCCATCACTTCCAGACTGTGAATACGGCAGGGGAAGTGGGGAAAGGGCAGGAGGAAGAACAGGAATGTGCACTGACTCCACGTGCTCAAGACAATGTTGCACACGTTGTACCGAAACACTACAAAGCAGGGATTAACCTCCTCGTTGTACAGAAAGGAAGACCGAGGCTCAGAGGATCGAAGCAGCTTCCCAGAAGGGCCAGAGGCGCGGGTGACGGAAGCAGTAGGGCTCTCCTCCTCTCCTCCCTCTGTCCTTGCACTACAACGACAGTGACAAAGGGCAGAACAGAGGACACGACTCAGCCTCTCGCTGCCTGGATGACTGATCCAGGTGGCAGCAAGCAGCCCCTCCGAAGGCAGCTCCCGCAGACGCGCACAGGCAGCGGCTCTGGGAGCGCACCCAGGTGGCTCTCGGCAGCACGAACATGGGTGCGCGCCCCGTGGACGGTGGCTTTGCCTTCCATCACCCCAAGAGCTGACAACGCCTGCAGGGCTTCCCCAGGTTCCCAGGTGCCTGACCCTCCACCCCGACCGCACACAGAAGGTCTCCAAAGGGGGATGCAGCTCAGCAGGACAGTGGGCTTAGCTCCCTCCGAGGTGGGTCTCTTTCAGTCCACGAAAGGAATTCATCCCCAGCGGCGGCTGAGATCCCAGCCCTGACGCTGGCGCTCTTCTCTTTGGTGGGGGACGCGGGGTGGCTTGCTCTCCGCATTAGCCGGGCCAGGACCCTCTCCTGAGCAGCGCCCTGAAGGTGGCGAAGCCCAATGCCATCGCTGCATCTTCTGAACTCAGCAGCTCCAGCACTGCCCACATGACCTGGGGAGACCCAGGGCTGCTCTGTGCCATAGCATCCTTCTCTGGACAATAGAGGCAACAACGGCACCGACCTCGCCGGACAGCATGAGGAATAAATGGGACCTGAAAACAGCATCTGGCTCACACCGAAACCTGTGCCTGCGTGTTCACAGCAGCTCTGTCTGTCGTAGCCTCAGACTAGGGAGATCCCAAACGCCCTTCAACGAATGGGTGGATCAATACACACTGGTGTGTCCAGACGGTGCAATACTAGGCAGGCGCTGGTAGTAATACACAACATCTGGGATGCATCTGAAGTGCTGGAGGCTGAGTCACTAAAGGCAGTCTCAAAAGGCCACACGTTGCATGAGTCCATTTCTGGAACGTTCTTGAAAGGATGAAATTACAGAGACGGAGAAGCCAGTTGCCGCCAGGAGCTGGAGAGGGTGACCATACAGACGGGGCATACGGAGCTTTCCCCGTGCTGATGGAAGAGTTCTGCATCAGATTACAATGGGGGTTGCTCGAATCTACACGTGATCATATTTCATACACTGTCCACATGCACGCACACACGCGTGCACGCACATAAGAACTGCTAAAATCCAGATAAGGTCTGCATTTGTGCCAACAGTGCCGATGTCAAATTTCCTACTCTCGGTAAGCAGTACCTTCACGTAAGATGTTGTCAGCCGGGGAAGGCGGAGGAAGGTGCTCTAGACTTCACTGTACTATTTCTGCAGCCTCTTTTTGAGTCTAACATTACTTCAAAATAGAAGCCTTCAACAATAACAGTGTGTGATTGATGAACAGATAAACAAAATGCGGTGTATTCATACAATGGAATGTTACTCGGCAAAGGAATGCTACAAAGAAACTTGAAAACATTATGCTACGTAAAAGAGAAACCAGTCACAAAGCACACAGGTTACGTGATTTACTTCATTTACATGAAACGTCCAGAATGAGCAGATCCCCAGACACTGACCGTAGACCGGTGGTGATCAGGGGCTGGGGGAGGTGGGAATGGGGAGTGACTCCTAACATGTATGAGATTCTTTGGGGAGGGGTGAAGTGTTTTAAAATCAACTGTGACGGTTACACAACTCTGTGAATACACTGAAAACCACTGAATTGGTATGTGCACTCCAGATGGGTGAACTGTCAGCTGTGTGAATTATGGCTCAATAAAGTTGTTAACCAAACTATGGCAATGTCTGGCACACAGTAAGGTGTTATAGAAGTATTTTGCCACGATACACTCATCCTTCTTCACCCGTGGGGGCTGGTTCTAAAGGTCACCTTTGGTGCACAAACATGGCAGCTCTAATGCTAAGAGAATCCGAATCAGTCTCCTTTAGGCACTGTGCAGACAGGGTCAAGTTCAGAGTCCTTGCCTCTTTCTTATACCTTTTCTGCCCCTCCCCCCAGTCCCCTGCATTCCACCAGGCTGGCTTATCCACTTTTCCCTAAAAAAAGAAAAAGCTTTCTTATTCCTGAGTCCTCACCCTTGCCCACAGAGTCCCTGTCTAGAACGCATTTCCTCAGTATGTATTGAAATCCCACGCAGCACCGAACCCAATCCAAGTGTCCCTTTGAAGAGAAAGGTCCAGCCTTCCTCAGCTGCTCTAGCACAGGCTAATAGACCCTTCCTAGGAATTCCCAGAGCAGGAGATGTCTGCACCACCCATGGCACACCCCATGCCCACCACAGCTTTCCAGCACCTGTAATCCCTTACCCCAAAACACAAGACACATCTCACACATCCTGGTATACTCCACAGTGCTCCAGAAGCAACAGATTCAAAGGATGGTCATCCCAGAAATAGGAGACTTTCATAAAAGGTGGTCTGAAAAGGATGCTCTTGACGTGGGTGAGAATCGGGCCTCGCTGTAAACTGGGTGAAATACAGCAGCCAAGATGGCAACCCCAGAACCCAGGCGGCCCTGTTCTCGGTGAGTCTGGGCTCTCTCTACCCCTCACAACAGTCCACGTGCGGCTCAGACAGCAGGAAAACGCCTCCCCAGGGGCCTACAGCACAGGCCACGTTGCCTCACAATGGTGCCAAACGAGGTTTTTATGGAAAATTCTGGTTGGTCCACAAGCAGTAGATGCCTGTCTGGATGCCTGTCATTTTCCAAACACACTCTGAGAGGCACACGCAAGACAAAGGGAGCCTGTAAAAGGCGAAAGAGTCAAAAAACTCTGTTTATTGTAAATCAGCCATCTTTGGAAAAATACGTACCTGAAATGCACATGGGAAAACACAGCAGCGACGATGCTTCCCTCGAAAGCACACGCGCTTTAACAACCATCTCCCTTTCTCTCTCCCAAAATTTCTGACTTCCAGGAGCTAAATAAAATACAGGAGCTTGCTGTGAAGTGCCGACGCAGACAGAAAGCATTTTTTGGTTACCAAATCTCCTATTACAAGAAATCCTGGGAAATCCCTGTTTCCGGTACGTACAGCCGTACAGTAACAGTTAATTTTTAAGCCCAGAAAACGTGGAGCGGTTGACAGGATATTCATTACGGAATAAGAAAGAATCCATGTTACAATTCCACTTACTCAGAGCCAAACGTAGGCAAATCCCTTCTTCCTTCGAGGGTTTATTTTTTTAGGCCTGTTTTCTGTCTTCAGTTACCTGTCAATGAAAAAAATAGCCAAAGTCAGGCAAAACATATCAACGAAGACATCTCGAATACGTTCTCGGCCGTTCCCGAAGCAGGCCGACTTCTGAAATAGGAGGTCTTAAGAAGCTGAAATAATAACAGCGTCAGATGGTAGACAACCACCGTAGGTGAACTGCAGGCTTACGTCTCCACGTAAAGCACACGATGTGACTGTCCACACACACAAATCTGTGCTGAAGTCTCACTACCTGAGAGCCGACTGTGATCACATCAGCAGGGAGTTCCAGTAACTGAAACATCTACCCCCTCTCTCATTTTTCTCTAGCATCCCCAAACACGCTAAGTGACAACACAGGTATTTCTAGATTCAACGCCAACTCAGCACAGGCTTACTGAGAACGACACGCCCAGTCCTGTGGAAAGCGGAAACGCAGCTCAGGGCTGCCCCGGTTTCCGGGACACCTGAGGTCTGCCGTCATGTGACACTTACCCGGCCGGACAGTGAAAAGGGAGGATAGGGGGAATCTCAGTGAGGGGAGATCAGTGACAGTAAACTCGTCAGAAAACTCACAACGAGACCGTTTAACAGCAGAGAAGTGATGACGCTGAAACTGGTAGTGGCAGACAAGTGACCAGCAGACAAGGAGCTGAGTTTACACCGGGGGCTGGGATGGAGCTCTATGAGGAGGGAGCCCTTGAATGGGAGTGAGAGTGGCCAGCAAGTGCAAATGTCCTGTGGTGAGATCGACCTTGGCGACTGGGAGCCAGGGAGGAGGGCCAGTGCACTGGGCAGCAGAAGTGAGTGACAGCAGGTCCTGGGTCACGGAGGACTCCGCAGCCCTTGGAAAGGAGTCTGATCCTTTCTTCTTGACCTCTCTTCACCCAGTGCCAGACTGAATGAGAAAAGAAAATGTGACCATCTTTCTACTTAAAAACCCTTCAGGGGCTCCCATCGTTCTTAGAACAAAACCCAGAGAAGCTCTTGCTCAGCAGAGGAACACAGTGGCTCACACAGCGCAGGTGGGGAGGATGAGAGACGAGATGGAGAGGGACGCACGGCGTCTGACGTGTCTGGAGGTGTGACCCGGAGGACGCACCGGTAGGGCGGAGGTGTGCTGGGGAGGGGACGGAAGAAGCAAGGACGACTTCTAGGTTCAGAGCTTGAGCAAAACCTGGAAGGTGGGGCCATTGCCCAGGAGGCACGAAGGCTGAGCGGAAGAGAAATCAAGAGTCTTTTAAGGTGTGAACTTTGAAACTGCCCATTGGCTCTCCAAGCAGGCTGTTAACTAGGTGGTTAAACACACAGGTCTCAGCAAGTGGGAGAGGTCACAGTCACAGAGTTAAGTCCGGCAGTAACCACGACCTCTGAAGCCACGGGCCTGGATGGGAGCACGGATGGGAGAAGTCCTAGATGCAGGATTTCTCATCCTCGGCATTGCTGGCACTTAGATCAGACCGTTGCGTCTGCGGTGGGGCCATCCTCTACGCTGCAGGATACTGGACAGGAGCCCAGGCTCTTCCCACTAGACACCGATAGGAATGCCCCATCCTCCCAAGAGGTGACAACCAAAACTGACCCACACTGCCCATGTCCCCTGGAGGGCATACTCGCCCCTGTGAGAACCACTGGTCTCAAGACGATCATGCTGAGTGAAGTAAGCCAGACGGAGGAAGACACGTATCATACGCTATCACTTACATGTGGCATCTAAAAAACTGATACAGGGAATTCCCTGGCAGTCCAGTGGTTAGGACTCAGAGCTTTCACTGCCGAGGGCCTGGGTTCAATCCCTGGTCAGAGAACTAAGATCCCACAAGCCGTGCAGCACAGCAAAAATAAGTAAATAAAAACAAATAAATAAAAAATAAATGATATAAATGAACTTATTTACAAAACAGAGACAGACTCGCAGACATAGAAAATAAACTTACAGTTACCCAAGGGAGAAGGGGGGAGGGATAAATTAGGAGTTTGGGATTAACAGATACACACTACCATATATGAAATAAAGAACAAGGACCTACTGTAGAGCACAGGGAACTATATTCAATATCTTGTAATAACCTATAATGGAAAAGAATCTGAAAAAGAATAGATTATATAATCGACTACATATATATAATACAAATAATTGACTATATATGTTATATATATAGTCGACCATATATGTAATATATATAGTCGATTATATATGTGATATAATCGACTATATATTATATAATCGACTATATATATATATATATAACATAGTCGATTATATATATATTATATATACTGACCACTGAACCCTGAGAAGGACCAGGCCAATGAGACAGAGGAGAGTACAGCAAAGTAGGAGGAAATCCAAAATAGTGTGGTGTCCTTGGCTTCTAGTGACAGCCGTCTCTCAAAAATCAGGCAAAGACTAGCAAATAACTGCTACTGAGATGAAGTACAAGGACGACTGCGGCTGACAGGATGACCAGGACTCAGGCACGCCATCTTCTCCACATGGAAGAAATCTAGACAGGCTTCACGGAGGAGGTGGCACTGGTTGGCGCAAGAAGTCAGGCAACGTAGAAGAGAAAGGGGCTACTGCTTGAGTGGTACTGGAGGCAACGAACGGGAGCAAGAGGAAGGTACGGAGGTTTCCCAACATACCGGCCGGGGGATGCTCTTGCTATCGTGGTACTTAGGAATGAGGATGCTGACAGCAAACAAGAGTACCGGAGGGCCGGTCCGTGGGAGAGAATGCGGCTGCCTCAATCCAGCAGAGGGAGGAAGGAGCCGCCCGAGCACTACGGGACCAACGTCACTCTTTGGGCCACCGGTGTAAGGACAGCTGCAGTGGTTGTGCATGCTGGCTCCAGGACTGCCCCAACAAGAGCGGGGAGACTGGAGGACCAGAGCCCTCCCTTTCTGACTTGCTTCTGCATCATCCTAGACCCCCTACCCCCCCGCAGGGGCTCTGTCTGGACCATCAGGAATTGGAATTAAGGAGCCCCTCATGAGCTTCCGGCTTCTTTTCTTTTGTTTCATTTTATCTAAGCTGACAAGGAAGGGCACACGTTCCTGGCAGATCACGCTCAGAACCCTGAACTGTATGGAAGTGCTGACAAAACATGCCAGAGGCCGGATCCATTTCACTGCCCTGCTCTGTCTTCCTTCCACAGCATTACTGTGCACATGCATTTTATTTGTTTAACTGAAAACGTTTAAAAAAAAAAAAAAAAAAAAGAGGAGCAGAGTTACAGGCCTCACTTTGCTCCTAATTAATTATAAGAAACTCTCTCTGAACCAGAGATTCCTCAGCTGTGAAATGAGGGTATTAAATTATTTATGAGGTTTCATCCACATCAAAAAAAAAAAAAAATCTGAGGAACCATTTTCCTGTTGACTTCCTTTGTAAATTCTAAGGGAAAACACCTTGCAAGGAACTGAACCAAGAACTTGCAAAAGAATTGGTGGGGGAGGGAAGAAGGGAGGGGAGGGGGGAGATAGGAGGAATGTATCTCGTCCTGCAGCCAACTGAGCAGAGAAATATATCCAAAGCGCGCATTTTTTCCCCCAAAGTTGCCATAATGATTAACATTTCCACTCTGGAGAAATTCAGTTGTATCATCCTGAAAATAATGTGAAAAATCTAAAGTATGTTTTCCGAAGCCACGGTGCATGACAGAGGAGCCGCGGTTTCCTCCTGACTCCTTTTCTTTTTTTACTGAGCCCTGAATTAACCGGGCCAAGAGCCAGGGGCTAAGACACATTCTGGTCCCAAAGGCAGGGGTGGGCTGCAGCGGTTCACGGAACCAGAGAATTCCAAAGCACTTCATTTGCTCCGTATGGGGTTCAAGTTCTTCGTGATGAAGCTGCTGTTTCCTGCTTTACCCATACTGTGCTGACCAGTGTTTTCATATATTGAGATGATTCATTCCATACCAGATTTTAAATCCTTTAAATCGGTGCTTCTCAAATGGCGCTGATTTCGCCCCCCTGCCCCAACCCCGGGACACCGGGCAACGTGTGGAAACATTTTTAGTTGCCAGGACTCCGGGGAAGAATGCTACTGGCATCTGGTGAGGCCGGGGAGGCTGCGAAACATCCCACAGCACACAGCGTAGAGCCCCCTCCGCAAAGAATTATTTGGATCAAATGTCAGTATCACCGAGGTTGAGAACCCCGAATCTGAACCGTACTAAAATTTCTATAATTTTGCCCAAGGTATATATACTGTATACTTTCATTTTCCAAACCATTTTTATTCTTTTCAAAGTGATACACGTACACAGGGGAGGCGAAAGACTCCTCCTTTTTCACTGCAAGCTTTCCAGCACCAGCTATCCTCAATTCTACTTCACAGAGCAACCACTTTCAAACCTTAGAACGGCTTCTGTTACTGGCAGTGCTGCCTAGTGCGGCCTCCCATGTTCCTGAGTAAGCTGCTTATAATGTATCCTATCAACATCACATACCACTTAACTCGATTTTGTCACACATGGAAGAGGAATTTTGGTTTTTAAAATTCCCATCACCGGGCTTCCCTGGTGGCGCAGTGGTTGAGAGTCCGCCTGCCGATGCAGGGGACACGGGTTCGTGCCCCGGTCCGGGAAGATCCCATATGCCGCGGAGCGGCTGGGCCCGCGAGCCATGGCCGCTGAGCCTGCGCGTCCGGAGCCTGTGCTCCGCAACGGGAGAGGCCACAGCAGTGAGAGGCCCGCGTACCGCAAAAAACAAACAAACAAAATTCCCATCACCAATCCTGGACTTACCCTCCCACGTTTCCCCAACAGTATAACATTCGGGGGGTTAAATCTAGACGGCACACGTATTATTTTGACAATGGAATCGGCACCGCTGAGCAGGCAGTACAGTGTGACTATGGTTCCTTTCTTCTGCAACTCTTCCATTTTCCTGGGATTATTAGTTGCCTCTGTTTTTATTTTCTTTGATAATTCCTCCAACACCCTCCACAACCTTTCAATTTTTAACTCGGATAATCTGTCAGTTCCATGTCTATCCTGCCCTCACCCCCAG